TCTCATGCACACCCATGCATGCACAAACCCCTCCCACAGATTATAAAATGTACCAGAAAAAACCTCCCTTCTGCTCCAATAGAGAACTTTCCATGGTCTCTTTGGCCAAACTGTTCCAGTGCTTAATTACCCTCATGTTAAGTATCCTTTTATAAGAGCAAGTAGGGACAGGACAAGGGGGAATGGCTTTAACCTGACAGAGGGGAGATTGAGATGAGCTTTTACGCAGAAGTTCTTCCCTGGGAGGGTGGTGAGGCCCTGGCACAGGTTGCCCAGAGAAGCTGTGGCTGCCCCATCCCTGGCAGTGTTCAAGGTCAGGTTGGACACAGGGACTTGGAGCAACCTGGTCTAGTGGAAGGTGTCCCTGCCTGTGGCAGGGGGTTGGAAGTGGATGAGCTTTAAGGTCCAATCCACCCCAAACCATGACATGATTCTGTGATTCTTATGCTGAGAAGCCCAGTTCCCTCAGCCTGTCCTAACAAGGCATGTGCTTGAGCTCCTGATCATCTCAGTGGCCCTCCACTTGGGTACCAGCTTGCTGTGGGAGACCTTGCTGAAAACCTTGCAAAACACAAAGCAGCTGTTACTGACCGCTCTCCCCTTGTGCATGGGACCAATCAAAGTCAATCAATCAAGTTGGTCAAGTATCCATAGAAAATCCAAAAAGGACTGCTGAGATATCTGTGTAACTTAGAGCAGCATTGAGGCTGCTCAGTGGTTGACCTTAGTGGCTGAAAAGGTCACAGTGGACTCTTTTGCATGTGAGCTTTCCTTCAGACAGTTGAAGCTATGGGTTTTCTGGGTATTTTTTCCCAACATAACTCTGCCAAAGATCAGATGTATAGGTCAGCTTCCTGAGGTGAAACAACAAAAGCTTAATTGTCTTCGAGGTGTTCAAGGCCAGGTTGGACAGAGCCTTGGGCGACATAGTTTAGTGTGTGGTGTCCCTGCTCATGGCAGGGAGGTTGGAACTAGGTGATCTTAAGGTCCTTTCCAACCCTAACTATTCTATGATTCCATCAGCATATATCAGTAAAATAACCAGCAGTCTTTACTGACAATAGCTTGTAAACATTTTTCAGACAGCCACCACGTCTGAGAAGAACTGTAAGTTGCCTGTCTGTACTCCCTCCTTTGGGACAGCCTGATTGTCTGCTTGAAGTAGGTTTCATCTTCCTCTACAAGAAATGCATTAGTAACACTTTTTCATCTTAACTTTTACTGTGACACTGTATTGATACTGCTATCATCATGAAACCATAAATGACACAGAGTTAAATGTTTTTTAAGTAGCTCTGTGGGCCCGGTTTACAGAAGTTAGGTAATATAACAATTACATCCTCCAGAGTCATAGTTCTTCAGCTTAGTTGTTCAGTCTTCATCCATAGAGCCCAGGTCCAGCTCTGAGATTAACAGTTTTTTCACTCTGAGATTCAATAGATTCTTTTGGCTCCCTTGTACATGGTTATGTGCTGATGAAGATGGCTCTGAATCTGTATGCAACAGCAGAGGATATTGGTATTAGGCTGAGGTTTTGGGGTTTGGGGTTTGGGAGTTTAGTTGGGTTTTTTTAATGGAAACTTCCTAAGAATACAAAATCTGTATTTACCACATTTTTAATAACATAGAGATGTCATTGCTGGTGTTACTAATGTCCATACCCAGACCTATCTTATTTTGATCCCTTTGGAGTGTGTAAGTTTCTTCAAGACTGGTAAACCTGTCAACAGAACTTGACTATTAGCTGCATTTCATACTTGGTCCAGCTGGCAGAGACAGTGTCTCTATGCCTCTGAAAAAGCAAGTGGTGCCAACTTGGCCTAAGTTGTTTATATGATAAACACAGTGAAACATATATTACAATGCCAACAGCCTTATTTTCATAGTACTTTAAGATGATTTTTACAGTATTAAAAGTTGCAGTGAAATTGAACATACTGAGTGTCAAAAGTGTGATGAAGGTCAGGTCAATTCTTAAACTAGTGCTTTTGAAAAAACCACTGAGACTGTGAAAGCTGTGGTTGCACTGACACAATCCATGTGTCTGCATCTTGCCTGTGCTCCTTCAGAGTAAATAGCCTGGTAGTTGCTGGTGCTAAAATAAGCACAGATCATATCATAATCATAGACTCACACACTGGTTTGGGTTGGAAGGGACCTTAAAGCTCATCCAGTTCCAACCCTCTGCCACACCTTTACTACTAGAGCAGGTTGCTCCAAGACCCATCCAACCTGGCCTTGAACACTGCAAGGGACAGGGCAGCCACAGCTTCCTTGGGCAATCTCTTTCCATGACTTGATCCATGGCATCTTCATGTGTTTTATCCTTAGACCTCTCTGTGGTTTGGGCAGGAACATTTGCCTTGTTTTGATTTCTCAAAATTCAGTAGCAGTAGTTTCTAATAAAGACACGGGGTAGTGAGAATAAGACCACAAATGCCTTTTGATACTTCAAACAAAACCACATAGGAAATCACCTCTACAAAGTGTATGTTTTTGAGTGACAAGATTTGAATAGGAATATAGGTCAAAGCAGGTTCCATCGTTTGTCTACCTAAACAAGACATCTTGCCAGCATCACAGTATCTGTATAAACATATAACCTGCTTAGGAGTGTTGGGGTTTGCTAGGTTTAAACTTCAGTTTTTAAAGCATTGCCATAATATTTCACAAGAGTTGGGGAAGTAAAACTCACAAGGTTTTTTTTCTGTTAGCTATGTCAGCCTCTGATTCTCCCTGTCTTACACAGTTAAATAACCCCCCTGAGTCTGTGCGCTCACTATAGGAGAGGCAGAGGAGCTGCTTCATCACCTGTCTGCGTCAATATATGGGAGTTCTTTGAACTGCGCGTCCTGAAGTTCATTCTCAGCCTCGAGAAAAGGAGGGCTGCAGCAGGAGTGCCACAGGAGGCAGTGCACCTCAGGGATGCGGGCTCCTGCTGCCTAGGACAAGGGTCTGTGTCTCTGGATGACAGCAAAGAGCAGAAGCAGGGAGGAGTAGCAGTAAGGATGCTTGGGGTGCCGACATGCCTGTCTACAGTTCTGGTAGAGCAACAGTTCCTCAGAAATAGCACTGTCCAAAACACATAGAGAATTAGATCAGGCTGGGTTAAGGAGAAAATTCTGGCACTTTACTCCATGTTTATTTGTTTCTGAAAAGTGAGTTCCTGCACCTGGGGCTGCTCAGGACAGTGACTTACCATGGTCATTTCATACCAGTGACTCTGAAAGACAAGGTTGTGTAGTGTTGTCAGCTAATGTGTTTTTTGGTTGTTTTTTTTTTAAGTATAAAACCACCTGAAACGTGTGTGCAGCTTTTGTGGCTATGTCCTCAGAGACTAAAGTGCCAGAGGCTGCTTTGAATTCAGTGTTGTCACTGTTATCTGTCCTTCTTGGTTTTTTATACTTTTCATATCCATTAAACAAATCAAAAGAAATCCATTTGCTGGTCCCATTATGCTTGACCTACATCAAAGCCCTTGGATTTGTTTAGAATGAAAGGACATTTTGGTTCCTTTTTAGTGTTTCTTAAGTGCAATATGTGTTTGCATCAGGTTTTTGGAATGTATTTACTTATATGTATTACAGAGAAATCTCCTCTTGGGTAACTGCCCGGCTCCTTATGACAAAAAACAATAATCTGAAGAAGTGGGAAAATGTTTTCTCAAAAGAGTTGGTTTTACAGTTTTGTTTGCTGTTTTGCTGTTAAAAAAGAGGATGCACATGCGGCTTTTTAGAAACTGTATGAGGGTATTTCCAGTATTTGACCAGCTGAGACTGACATGCCAGTGACTTCTGTGTCACTTTGGAACAGCATTTTTGTCATATCATTTTGGCATAATTAGAAATTATAAATCTGTAGATCATGAAGTGCTGTTGTCTGTTTTATAGGGATGGAAATGAACATACCTCTTGGGTATTTGCAGTTTGCATGTATTTTCAAAATTCCTTCCATGAGGAATTCACAAATATAATTAGATTAAACTCCTTTCCATTTATAGCAGGAGTTATTACTTTCATGCCAATGAGTACCTTTCCAATAAATTCTTCTGTTTAGTACAATTGGTTTCAGGGGTCTTGAGGACAATGGGAAGTACAAAATATAGTGCAAATGTAATCGTATTGCAGCAATCAGGAAGAATCTGTAAGTCTTCTTTCTGTGCTTTTTTGGTTAACTCCTTTGTTAGTAACTATTTAACTGGTTGATTTGTCAGTTGAAATGGATTATTTTCTCTCAATGCAACTTAAGAATTAGAGAAAGTCAGATTTCATATTCAGAAGTTCAGTCACTGGATTTCTTTGCAAACAAAAGACATGGTTATAATACTTTTCTTGGCTAAGTCTAAAGGTCAAAATTAACAAATTTTAAAGAACTGCAGAAGCATACAGCAGAGCCTTTGTAGTAATCACAAATGAAAGGCAGCGCTGAATTTGTCATATCATAGAAAATCTAATTTATAGCTACAAGTTGGTATCTGTGACGGCAGCAGTGCAGCTTGCATAAGATTGAAATTGGAGCAGGAATGCAAAAAGCCAGGAGGTCAGTAAGGAAATAAAGAACTGTGGCTAGGGGAGAGCAGCCAAATCCTATTGTAAAGGCGGCCCTTGACCACATTTTCACTGTTATGACAACTGTGAAACTCAAGTTGATTTTGTTGTTCTTGGGGTCTTGGCTTTGCTTTGCAACCATGTGGGTTCAACCAAATAATCAGTTTCAGTGACTCTTTTTGGTTCATTTTGTGGTTTTGTGTGTGTGTGTGTGTTTAGCTGGAGGCCTCGGGATATGAACTTACTTTTAACTTCCAGATCTTTGATACGCAGTGATGTCTTCTCTTATTTTCCATAGAATTTCCATAGGCTACAGCCCATTGAGACACAGACTGCTGGTGTAAGGGAAAGCATCTGCTACACCATATAGGACCTTGCCATGACTGCATTCCAACTCTGACCTACGCTCCCTGCATTTCAAATGCTGGTGTTCTTTTTCTTTCTCTGTTTCAGGGTCTTTATGTCTTTGTGGTATATTTTATCCTGCACAACCAACTTTGCTGTCCTGTGAAAGCAAGTTATTCTGTAGACATGAATGGGCATACAACACCGGGATCAGCTTTTTTCACACATGGCAGTGGTCTGCCAGCTGCGGGTGGAGAGATCAGCAAGTCCACTCAGAACCTCATCAGTGCTATGGAAGAGGTAACAGTGCTCCACAGTCATTACCTTGGGTATTGTAAATGTACCTAGAGATTTAAGTGGCAGTACTGAATTGTAATAGACAGGAATGAGTTGCTAATCATTTTAGGTTGGCTTTGAGGAGGGGGGATTTTTTAATTTTTTTACCATAAAAATTGTTATCTTTAACTATGGTGATATTCTCAGAACTTAAAATTCCCTGGTAACATCCCATCTAGAGAATTTCTCTTTTTCCACTTAAGTCTTCAGTTTGTTATAAAGACTGGTTAAAGTTTTCAGAAGTGGGTCATGAGACATCAATATATTAAGTTAACTCTTTCTAACACTTACTATAGGCCTTAGATAAGTTTTCATTTTCCAAAGTCATGCTGTGCAAAATATATGGAAAATTTAATAGAATAGAGTGGAATGGAAGGGAATGGAAAGGAAAGGAACGGGATAGAGAAGGAGAAGAGAGGAGAAGCATAATAAAAGCAAAGTTAAATGACATGTAGTTGAGTTATATACATATAAAAAAGTATATTGTTTATTAAAAAAAAAGGCTACCTGTTTCCTATAGAAGTGACAGAATAGCTGGCTTCAAAATCTATTGGGCTTGAGTTTGTCTCTGGTGATAGTTTCCAATTTCTATACTGTAGTTTTGATGATTACTTTATTTCTGTGTCTTTTTAAACTTTGCAGGTGCCTGCAGACTGGGAGAGGGCATCCTTGCAGCCTGCTGGTCAGGCTAGTGCTGCCTTTAAGCAAAGTCCACAAAATGGCAATGTTTTCCAGTCTTCTGGAGGATTTAGTGCCAGCTCATTGGTTGCTGATGAGGAATCACAGGAGTTTGATGATCTAATATTTGCTTTAAAGACTGGTGAGTGACTCTTCTCCTTGTTCCTTGAAGGTTGTTTTGCTATTTTTCACCTTAATGATGTCACTGTGCCATAAGATCCAATTAATGAGATCCATTAATGGAATTTGATTGCCAGTGAAAATCTGAAGTAAAATTGTTTTGCCTTGGAATGCTCTTCCATGACAATATTGTTGAGGCTAGCTAAAATAACAGAGAAAGGAGCTATAAAAAGACATTTTGAATCATTAAAACAAGCATACCTACAGAAAGTAGCAGGAGATTGGAGGCTCGGACATTTTTTCACAAGTGTTTAAACCGGCTATTGCCGGTTCCAGACATTGGCTGTCATGTCTTCTTTTCTGTTCTTATTCACATTAACATATAGGGTACATACAATGCCTATCTTTATTTTTCACATATATATATATATATCTATAAGAAACAGCATAACTTCATAAATATTGATTCTCCCAGTAAGTGTAAGACAAAAAATTTACATAAAATACAGTTGGTCCTGAAAAATGGGGTACACTTGAAAGATAAACAAAACAGATTTCTGCCCAAACAGAAGAGCCAGCTGTGATGATCTCGCTGTGCCGCTGGAGGACAGAAGCAGGGGAGACCACTTCAGGTGTCCACATTCAAACTATGCCTGCAAACCAAAATGTTTGTAATCAGATTCCCCTCAATAGCCTTAGAGTTCAAGTCTTCAAAATCCCGGGTTTTGCCCTCAATTATATATTGCTTTCCTGCCTTCTCACCCACTCCACCAAGGAAACTTGAGGTTATTCAAACAGTGATATAAAGAGATAGTCAAGATGTGGCCACGGGTGGAAGAAATGAAGTGACATCTGGTTCAAAGATAGGTCAACATGGAAAATCTGGTACGATGACCACAAAGGCAGAGGAGTGCCAGCTGATAAGACCTGGCACATGCTAACCCAAGCCAACCTTTAGGCACCGGGTGAAATACAAATGGACAGGCTTGGTAGTAGGAGGTCACCTGAATGGTCTCTGAGGGTACTATTGAGCCTCTCAAGAGGCAACAGCAAGGTACTGGTGACAGTAGTAGGTTAGGTGCTCTGGCACGTGGATAATTTAAGGAGCTTCTTCACTTTAGTGGCACCAAGAAAATAGTCAATCTGGTTGGAAGACTGGGAATGCTGGGAATGAAGGGGTAGCTTTATTCAGTATATGCATAATACTTTATCTCCAAAGCCAGTTTCTATTGTAGAAAACTCTTCTAATTAGCAATATAATTGATTGATTAATAACTGGTCTTCTGCTAAGAAATATGAATTTTTATGAAGATTGTCTCAAAATCTGTATTGTATCCATCAATTTTCCTGTAGATTCTGCAGACTACTTCTACTTTGTTACGTATTTAAAGATTTGGGCAAGACTTTCAAATCTAGGTGCACAAGATTAGAATTGCTTGTTACTTTGTTACTATTTCCTGAATAATTTGAAGGAAACCAGATTATTCATGGATAGTAAGATATGAATCCATTCATATTGTACACTCCCACCATTGCACACAATGTTTACCTTTTAAGCAGCTCAGTTGACATCAGTTGGCCTATTTTCAGCAGTAAATGCTACACACTGTGGAAGAATGAATCTTAAATCATGATGAGGAAGCTAGGAAACAGCAGTAGTTAAAACTTATAGTTAATGTAATCCATCAAAATTTAGCATTTAATGATATTTTAATAAATCTTCAAACTCCAACCTTAGTTCATTTGTTTTCTAAAGGCAGTTCTCCTAAAGGCAGTAGGTCTAGAAATTTTTTGCTTTTGATTATTTTGCTTGATTTTTATTATTGTCTTCTTTATTAATATTTTAATATTCATTATCATTTGTTCTTATGAGTCTTTTGTATTAGTATGGTTTGAAGCAGAGACCTTAGGCCACAACTGGGGAAAAATATTTTTGTTTGCATTATAGATTCAAGTAGCACCTGACCATTTTGCCCCAACATGTATTTATTTGCGTGAACTGTGTCTCCAGAAACATTAGAGTAGCAAAATAAGATGATTTCTAAGCCAAACCAGTTGTCCCATATGCTTCCAGCCCTACAAGCAACATTTGAACAAGAAAAACTGAAGCAGCGGTGTTGAGGTTAGAGTAGCTCAAACCACCAAAGTAAATGCTTATCAGCTATTGCCTTACATGCAAGCTGCAGCTCAACACATACTTTAAACCAAAACACATGTTTCTGTAACTAAAAATCATATCTGTTTTACTATTTTTGCTCTTCAGTCCAGTTCAGTGCATGGCCAAGGAGTCAAGGTGCTCCCAATGGCATGAGGGAGGGAACCACATGGAAGCAGTAAAAAGGGAGATGATGCGGTGAAAGTGGGATTTCTCCTCTGTTTGGCAGTACAGGCTTATTCTGCAAAAGTATTCACTGAGCTATGGTCTGATGGGAATTCTGTGATACTGTTAAGCTAGCAGGCATTGAAAGGAACCTGTCTTCTGGTCCCTTCTGGCAGCACGCTTCTTACTCCCTTGCATCTTTGCCCGTACTCATATGAAACCGCAACAAGTCAGGTTAGGGACTTTTCCTCTCCCTCTTCCTCTTACTCTGCTTCTTCTCCTCCTCTGTCTCACTCTTCCTTTGCTTGATGCCCTTTGAGCCCCAGTCCCAGCTCCAAGGAAGCAGTGGTCATCAGCAACTGGAAAACCAGCACTTCTTCTCTAAACAGGCTAAAATGTATGGGCAGCTGAGATGCCTTTTTGCTGCCTTGCTCTTGTCTGTCATTTGCTGTTAAGTAGTGCTTCTCAAACCTTTTTGGACCAGGCTTTATTTCAGCAGGCTGAGAATTCCTTATATGAAGTAGACAAGCCCCTGGGAGAGCAGGAGAAAGGTACTTTGCACCACATGAGCTATTATCACTCCTAAACTGTATGTTGTAGTTTTGACTTACAGAGGAGGAACAGAAATGCTTGCCCTGCTATTGCTTGAGCTTTAACTCTGACTAACAGAAGCAGAAACCTCCATTATATGTTGTTCCTAAAACTATCAATCTGTAACCAAACTCAACCTTAGTTCCCACTCTGAGGTTGGCTGAGGATCAGCACTGATTAACAGAGGAATATGCAAAAATGTCCTTATGCCTCTTTGCACTTCATCTGTTCTTTCTGCATACATAGTTTGGAGCTGTCTGGAGGTTACTTTAATTTATGCTCACTCTTTGTAGCCACAGGGTTTAATCTAGCAGTCAGGATCAGTAAGAACCAGTGTAGAACCCACTGCAAAGCTAAAATCCCATTCCTCTCCTCCTGCCTCGCCCTTGCACTGCAGCTGACCACTTTCAGCAGTAGAAATGAAGGATGACTGATGTAAGTTAAAGAAAATCAAACAAACCCCCACAGTACAACTTTGTTCTTTAACTTGCAATGATTTAGGAGCTTGCAATTTGCAGCACAGCTCCACAAATAAATGCGTTGGCACATTTGGCCTTGCTGCCAAAGAAATGTGTTGTAGAACTATGCACTTAACCCTTGGTTCCATAATCATTAATGCTGGGCCTAATTAAAGATTAACCTGGAATATGGACTGGATCAGTTGAAGGCATACGACTGCTTTTCTAGCAAATTAGGTGAACAATAGTGTGCTGTTTCTTAGACAGCTTTTATGCTAGCTTTATGCAAACTTTGCATCACACAGCCAGTGAATTTTTTATTTGATGCAATCCGAAAGCTGGGCTTATTCTATCATAAAGTCATAGCCTCTGAATTCCTAATCACTTAATTCCTCCTTTCCATCTAATATGTTCATGTTCATACAGAAATACATAGGATTCACTATGCCCACTGTACCACCTCATCTCTTATACTGTGGATATCTTTTGGGAAACCAACCAGCTCACATGCAATTTACGTGAGGAAATTATAGAGCAATTGTGGTAGGAAAAAATAATTTAGGGATATCCTGTCTGTTTTATGTGCTTAGGTAAAAATAAAATAAAATAAAAATAATATTAAAATATTATATGATATTTGTTATCTAAAATAAAAACCTTTTTTATTTATGTTTTTGAATTTGTCTTACTTATTACATTTCATTTATGGCTTTTATAATGAGTCAAAGGCTTAGCTTGTACTGAGGACAATTATTTAATAATCAGTTTTTGTTAATTGCACTAATTAACTTCAAAAGTGCTGTCTTTATGGACTAGATGTCATCATTCCTCTAACTTCTTGTGCAAGGTTTATATTGATAGACAATTTAATAAGACCATTACCTTCCAGATTGTCACAGAGTTGCATATTGTCATCATTGAGGCTAAAGCCCAGTATAGCAGAATTCCCTGAGGACTGTGGTTAGAGCTGGGGAGTTAAAAAAGCAGCCAACAGAATAAAAGTAGATGGAATCTGTCCCAAAGCAGATTCAGCTTCAGTCCATCGGCTTTGCTCCAAAACATAAATACCATAAATGCACACTAGCTTTACTGATCTCTGAGCTTCCATCCATATTCCATTCTCCTACAGATGGTCTTGTCCTCCCCCCTTCTTTGATGCACAAAACTAAACCAATTCCTTCCTTTGGGTGAGATGTGAATGCAAGAAACAACAAAGCCTTTGGAGAGGCCTAAACCCTCCACTGCTGACTGGTGATCCACCATTGTAGGAAGTTGTTTGCAAAGATATTTATGGGTTAGAGCAGAGAATACCAGCGTAACACATGGTATTTTCCAAATATATATTAGATAGTATCAATGGAGGATATTGCTACATCCACATCTCAATGTATTTTTGGGTTTAATAGAGGCATATATGATAAATCCTAAATAAATATTCTACATGGAAAAAACCTGGGAAAATCTACTGTGTAAGTTACCCTCCCTACACACAAATGCACCTATTACAGTAATGATCCTATATAAACCAACTCATAGTTTTCAATCTAATTTAGGCAGGGTTCCAAAGTCAGCATTTTTAAACACTGGGGATACCACTGTAGATGCCTTGTTTAAAAATTAAGCACCTCATGCTGGGCATCCTGAGCTAGAGGAAACATTTGAAATTTCAAATTTTGGAAGGTTTTCAGTGCAACATCCTGGAGATGGTCTGTCACAGGGCAGATAAATTGTAGACAGTGGCAAAGTGCCAGATTCGTGCTCTGCCTTGTCAGCCTGTGTTACTTCCATTTTGAATGACTCGCCTTCAAAAAAAGGAAGGAAGGGTAACCAGTTTGTATGTTCATTCAACTTCTCATTTGTGAATGCTCACAAATATTCTACTTGTTTTCCACTGAACGTGACTGAATAATATCCAAAAACCATTTTTTTGTCCAGTCTGAACTTTATTAATACAAGTCTGGATGTCTGTTGGTGTCATTTCTGTAAGGTCAAAACTCTGAAAGAACAATTAAATTTGACTCATGTAGCTTATTCATTTCTATCTAATATGCCTTACACATGAAATATAAACAATGATTGATTCAGAGAGCAAGATGGAAGTGTTTACAAAATAAAGTCTCCCCAGAGATCTGCGTACAGTAATTACAGACTCCTTAAAATGTTTTAGTGAAAGTTTGAGATATATATGAGCAAACAGATGTTAACAGCTGGAGTTCAAGGGCACGAAAGAATGCTTGGATGAAATCCTTCCACCAGTAGATGTCACTGGAGGGATCTTGCTGGGTTTGCAAAGTGAGATACGAGATTTCAGTTTCTAGCTACTCCTTTGATACGAAAATACAGGAAGAAAGGCCTCATTTTGCTGTGTCTTTTTCTTAAAATAAAAAAAAAAAAAAATTGGGGAAAAGTAATACTCCCTGCTGTGTATGTAGCTACTATCCACCACTAGCATCTCCAGGGGACTACATGCTTTTTGCGATCTGATTGAGTTTAAATTGAGTTAATAATCTGAGTACAAGACAGGCCAATGAACTCTCTGAAACTCCATCATGTAAACAGTTGTACCCTTCCCAGTCTGCCAGCTTTTTGGTAAGCTGGTATCCTGGTTACAATTTCGCTCTCATTCCTAAAAAGGATCAGCACTTACATAGTTTGCCTTTGTACCAGCAGCAGAACAAGGCCCTTGTAAACCCAGAGTAGCCAACTTCAGTCTCAGGTTTACCAAGTCCCTGATAAGAACGTCTGTAACAAAAAAAATCTCCTCTTTACTTTGCACAAAGCATACATGTAATGACGTTTAAGAATAAACAGGTATATATGACATATAAGAATATACATACATATGCTATGTGCAATAGCATATTAAACCAGCATCTTTATTTTTTTATAATGACCAGCATGAGATTCTTTAAGAAAGCTTGACCTGAATAATTGCAGTATAGCCACCAGTAAGACAAATATCTTTCTAACCCCAACAGTCAGTGTTCACCTTAAAATCTGAACCCAGAATGATCATATTTATATGATATGATCGTAAATATTTTTCAATAATGCGTTTTTTCCAGTTTTGAAATTTGTACTCTCTTCAGCCTAAATAAATGTTTCGAGCAAATTCCAATGTTAATGATGCTGTATAAGAAGTATTATTTTGTTTCTCTGTTCAAAGTATTTTATTTACTTCAAGGTTATTACCTTGTTCTTCCATCCCCAAGTGGTAAATACAGCAATCTGATTTATCTTCTCTATTATACTCATGTTTCCTTTCTAAAACAACACGTTTTAGAGAAGAAAGAAAAAAAATCCAAATAACTTGCTTATGCAATTGCTGGTTTCCAAGGACTTTCAAGCAGCTTTTAGTTATTAGGACCATAATTCAATGACAAAATTAAATACGCATATAAATTTGAATCAGTAAGTACTCCTTAATCATCTTCAGTACACTTATAAAGTAGTTTATTAATGATTCAGAACCTAATCTTTTTGTCTTTATTATTGTTTCTCTGTACATTGATAGATTTTTACTCCTGTTATACTCTGGCAGTAATTGCTGGTCTAAAGAGCTTGGGTCATACAGACCCAAGAGCAGGACTCACCTGCTGCATGTCAATGAATGCACAGCCCAAACTCCAAACCAGTTGTAAGAAGGACCACAGTGCAGAAATACCCACTTTTCCCCTGGATGCAGTAGGGCTGAGTTTGGTCCCTACCAGAAGTTCTACCAGACCTCTGCAGGAAAGCCTGCCTAGAACCTGCTTAGGTTCTGTGAACCAAGCTCCATATTCAACATTGCAGCCTGACTTCCCATGGCAAAGGACCATCCCACTGCTGCCCTTTTTTCCGTACTTCTTTTCCACTTGGGGGCTAGTGGAAGGACGGCTGCTGTGAAAAACTTTGCAAAAGTGGAACAATAGGGGGCATAGAAAATGATGAGGTAACTCCAAAAAATGACCCTTATCTTGTCATTTTCTGAACAAACCAAAGCCTGGAGTGCCAGCTGACGCAGAAATGAGAGATGCGTGTCACAACTGATAGAAACTCCTGAAGATATTTTGTAGTATGAAAATGCGAATCACTGCCTCTCCCAAAATAATCTGTCCAGGTCTTTGTGAGCCAAATGTCATTCCTTTGCAGCTCCCTTGAACTACGTGTAGTTACAGATCTATGTATGCCCAAAATGAATAACTAGTCATTTGGAAGTGACATCACCCTAAGACCATGCCTGAAATTTGTCTTGAAATCACCATGCCTAATCATACTGATGTGCACTTCTCAATAAATTTAAAGCCTTGATGCCCTAAATCCTAACAAGACCCATGTATTTTTTAGGATTTGCTCTACAACTCAAAGAGAGGAGCTGAAAACACATTGAAGTTAATAGTTACAACTGATATTCTTTGAAGAAGTGGTCTGAAAAAGTACATATTTCATAAAAGCTAGTGCAGGATTATGTATCTTCACATTAATTAACTTGAAACTCTCCCCCAAATAAACCCCAACCTCACCAAAACAACAAGGAAGCAACAAGCTAGCAGAACTCCTGTGACAAAAGGATGGAGGAGGTGGACTGAGGTCTCTTCCAGACATGTTTTGGAAGTTTCCGTGGGCCAAAATCTAGTATTATCTCACAGCAGAAGAAGAGCACAGTACACTAGCTTGTGCCAAATGTGGGTTTAGGAATAGTTAGCATCTTTTCTCATTTTGAAATTACAGTCCTCTTAAACCAGCTGGAATTATAGTTTAACAGGGAAATTGTATCATTAAAAATCAATTTTTCATGAAGAAGTCCCTGGAAATACTAGACTGTCACAGCCAAACCATTAACCCAGCCTAAGCCAGGCCTTGATTTACGCTTTTGTGATTTCAAGACAACCTTCGAATAGCTATTGTACCATTTACTGAGACAAATAAAGCAACTGACAGCAGAATTATGAAAAAGCGTATCTGGATGGTACAAAACTACATCAGATAATGTTACAATTTGTGGATTCAGAACTGTAGGCTAGTAAGAGGAAGCTTGCCACATCGTTGTGGGGTAGGGAATCATTTCAATAACTGGAATAAAGCAGAGCAGGACACAGTGTCACTATTTCTGCATCAGGATTTCATTCTCACTTATTCTTTCTTTGTTTTCTTTGTTTTGCTGTTTCAGGTGCAGGTCTGAGCATCAGCGACAATGAATCTTGTCATGGCAGCCAGGATGGCGGCAGCATGGCTAACTCCCAGATTGTAGAGCTTAGAAGAATACCCATAGCAGACACCCACCTCTAACTCCATGTCTTGCTTGGGATTTTTTGTCTTTTTTTTTTTTTTTTTTTAATTCAAGCCTCAGTATTTTTATATTTGTACTTCCTTTTGCACTAAAACACTATATATGAAACTGCGTAGTAGAATGCTGTGAGCTTTACTGAGCATTTAACAAGGAATGTTTGCGTGAGGTTTTGTGTATCAGAAAATAAACTGTAAATTTTTTACAGTGGCTGAGCATCAATAGATACCACAGCAATTGGCCTAGGTTTGTATCTTGTAGATAGATGGCATATTTCACAAACTAGCTTTTTTAATTAACCTGTATGTGTAACACTGATTAATAAAAATAATAGTCTGTTTGATACAAACAAGTCTATTATTTCTGCTTGCTGGAATATACGGCTGGAAGATGATGCAGACACCCTGTTGGATAGGAAAGCTTTTTAATTACACAGTTGCTCCAGGTTTCCTAAGCTGAACTCATCTCATTGGTTTTTGAGTACCCAAATCTGTGAACTTTACAAATTCAAATAAAGACACAGTCTTGAGCCAGAAAGCTTGAAATTTGAATTGTGACATGATAAAATATGCAGTGATCTGAAACAAACAGAGAGGAGATGAAGGACAAGAGTGAAATCACTGGCCTGCTGTTGACTGCCTTACCTTCCTATTCCATAACATTAAACCCTGTCACTTTTCTTGCAGTTACAAGTAAGGAGGAATTCCAAGGAGTTTAATTTTCTGATAATCATTCTATATATCTGTGCCCCACAGATATCCCTGTTCTGATTGAAGGGTTCAAGTATTGCATTACAAACGAGTTAGTTAGGTCAGTAATCTGCGGTCATAAATGAGCAAGAAGTATATACACAGAGGAAGTATTTCAGACCTGAGAGGGGGAGGCAGGCTGATCTTGTAGGAATCATTAACTCTGCTTCTGCACAGACACTCTGGGATTAAAACACATTAAAGCGGGAGACCGAGGGAATTTTCCTCTGAATGTATCTGAGCACAGTATAGAAATACAGTCAATGAGAACGCAAGCCTTTCATACCTTCTTCAGGAACTTGCCTAAAGGCTTAATGCCAGGCAAGCTCTGAGCAACACCCTTTCACTTTAGAAGAAAACTTTTCTTGTGGAAATCTGTCCATGAGTTTTGCTATAGTTTTATACAAATTTTGCTTTATCTCATTACTTGTTGAGCTGGGGAAAAAAAAAAAGCCAAACCAACAAACAAACCCCAGTTCTGTGTCCCAGTTCTCTAACAGCTGGTAGGACTGCACAGCTTACCGTCATCACTCATATCCAAAACAGACATAGTCTTTAAGGTCTAATGCTGCAAAAGCATTCACAGACACAGAAAACTAATTCTAGTGAGCAGACCCCTTAAGCAAGTGCTTTTTAAGTAGACATTTGAATTGATGGGAAATGAGAGCATGTCTATATTTAATTAGTACATGTTCTGCTGCATTGAGTCTTCAGTTTCTTGGAATTTGCCAGGAATTCTGTTTATGCTGCAAACAGAGATCAAACAGGGCCAAGTCTTTGTGGCTGACGGCAAAACTTACTGGGGGTGAGGAGAGAAGGGAATGAGCCTTTCTTCACTGTGGGCAACATACAGAAGCACAGGGTAGTCAGGGAGACCAGTGCCCCTGTATAGAAGGGTCAGCCTTTAAAATTAAGTGCAGTGCATCTGAAGCACAGTGAGCAGCTTTAAACAAGTGTGAACCATCTAAGAATATAATTCACTTTTCTGCCTATACCTACACCTGCTGAAAAAGGACTTTCTGGGTGTTTGAATGAAGTGCAAGTATCATTGAAATAAGTCTCAGTCTGCAGTTAAAATTAGTTTGCGACACTTTGGAATATAGTACTTTTTTTATTATTATTATTTTCTACACAGGAAACCTGGGTCTTGAAGAGTTTTTTTGTTTTATTTCATTCCCCTTGAATGGACAGAGATGGGCACTGTCTGTTGCTGATACTTCTCATCTGACTCCTCTCTAAAGCCCTAACACGAAGCCTGGCCCTGCAGAATGATTGCAACACTTGCTCAGTTGCGAGAGTCAGGGCAGTAACAGATGTTTCATTGCTCGCAGTACATGCTACTACATGCTGTGAGAAAGCTTATAAAAGAAGGATGTTTGTTTGATTTTGACTCACCACCATGAATGTTAATACTTTGTGTCACTTCAGCTAGTTGCACAACTGGCCTGGTTAGAGATTTACTGTAAATTCATCAGCATTTTCGGAGCAGATCAGTAGGATGACCTCCACTGCCAGCATTTGTTGAGTTTTAAATCTCTAGGTGGTGCTCACATGGTTTAAGATCATGAGATGAATTCTGTTATTGTTCTGGAACCTTTTTTTTTTTCTTAAGAAAATATTTTGCCTGTAGGAAATTCAATGTTTTAATAAGCAAGGGTCTCTCTCTGCTCCTTTTTGCTGTTGCTTGAGAAGTTAAAGACTGAGACAGGAGCAGGGCAGATGTGCCCAACAGCCACATGTGGACCGGAGGAGTAAGTACCTTTACAGATGGCTGGACTCAACCTAACCAGACTAAATGCCTCCTGCGGTTCCCTGGTCTCAGGCATTTTAAAATGTGGTAGAGAGTATAAATATTTCTTCATTTCTGTGAGGGGAATGAATCCACAGCTAAACAGTTTTCAAACCAAGTGCTACCACGGGGCCTGCCATGCTGAGATGACTAACTCATTCAACCCTTCGCTTTGTTCCCCAATAGTGAAGAAGACCAGGACGCTTGCTGCCTTTGTTTTTACCCTATAAAAGGAGCCATCGTTCCTGCACAAGAGGCCATTCTCCCCAAGTTTTGAGGGGTAGAAGGAACTGTGGTTAATATGGATGTAACACTTTGTGTGAAGGAGACTCCTTTTCCAGACAAGCTTCAGCTAAAGCTACTTAAATATGTAGATCGGATAAATGAATGGATGGGTTTCAGGAGTTTATCACCACTTGTATGCCAACATGATTAGAATCACTTTTGGAAAGATGTCTGAATATATTTCATGTTCAAGTGCACCAGTGACGAAAAATGCTCAACAGACATCTCTTAGGTGATGTTTCAGGGAAAGCCACTGTGGAAGATTCTGATTTAACTTTTCTTAGTGCATAGCTACAGTAAGTCAGTTCATGTCAGGGACTTGAGCAGAAATATTCAGATTTTGTTCTCATTAGAACCTAGTTGAGACCCCCAATATACCCATGTCTGTCTCTACTATGCAAATGCTTAGTACTCCAATATCCTACATGCAAATTCATCATGCTGCTGAGAACTGCACAGGGAGAACTTTGATCTGCAAAGGATTAAATCATATTGAGAGCTTTACAGCAATAAAGTGCCTATGTGCTCAACATCAAATTATGTTAAAATGACTGATAATGCAGAGGCATATCCTGCCTTCAGGCACTTTTCACTATAACTCAGTCTGTACTGTGAACCTAAATCTACTATTGTAGATTCTGCTTCACCAGCACTGGTGCAAACCACTAAGAAATCAGAATGTGTGCCCAGTTTGCTGGCAGCAGAATTTGTTCCTTCGGAATTTGTTACTTCTACTGGCAGTAACATGTAATGAAGATAAAATAGAACATGCAAGTTTGGGCTCATCTGCTCATTTCAATATGTTATTCTGCTAATTTTCACAGGAAAAAAAAATCCATTTTTCATTTAATCATTCAAAATCATCTTCTATGCAATAAATATGTGGAAATAATTGCAATGTAATACTCAAGCATTATTGAATGAAATCCCTGGGACTAATGATGCACTGAACCTGAGACGACAGTTGTGTAAACTGGCCTGAATGGTAGTCCCAAAACCACACATAGGAATGACTCGCATCAAAAGTGCAGGGAAAGATTTTGACTGAAGCTGTCAGGATTTTCCCCACTCAGCAGGTAGGCTTTGAAGATGGTGTGGTCACTCCTGTGCTATAGTAACCCCAAACTGAGCACAGTGATTTTATGCAGAGATGCTCTAACTTCCAAAAGCTGTCATCCTCAGTGTGGCTATGCTCTTCATGCAGAGTGAGTAGCAGCATCTGGCCTATATTTTCATGGCTTAAAACACTGTGGAACATAAGTACATGTCACTGTGTACACACAGACAGAAAACTAATTACAGGATATAAGAATTTAATACAATAAAAATGAATTCAGTTTCAATCTGGAAGCCAAAACATTGCAGACCAGGTTATGAAACAGGTTTCCCTGGAAACTTATTGGCTCCTGCTTTGCAGTTCCTGAACTGAAGTGTGTGATTTCCCAGTTTCCTAACTGGAAAGTGTCATGCATCCAGGCATGGGCTGTACAGTTGCTAACAAGGGTGCAAGAAAAGGGGATGCCTGAAATCCCCCTTTGCTCTCAGCCTCCTGCAATGCACAAACATGTAATACACCACCTGCAGCCCCTCTATACACCATGATGCTGCTGCCTCGGGTCTGTCTGTTCCCCATGGTGGGGAAGGAAAGAAGCAAAGATTTTCCCATCTGGCAAGGACCAGATGGGTGTCTGCTCCACATGCATGCAGGGACATATTTATTTTTGATTTGGTGTCATGGTTCAAGCCCAGCCGGCAACTTGGAACCACGCAGCCGCTCGCTCACTCCCCCCTTCTTCCTTCCTCCCCCCGCTCCCGGAGGGATGGGGAGGAGAATCGGAGGAATGTAACTCCCACGAGTTGAGATAACAGCTTTCCAGTAACTAAGGTATAATACAAACCACTGCTGCTACCAGTAATAATGATAAGAGGAATAACAAGGGAAAAGGACACAACCACTCACCACCCGCCGACCGATACCCAGCCCGACCCGAGCAGCGATCTGGGCCTTCCGGGTAACTCCCCCCAGTTTATATACTGGGCATGACGTGCTGTGGTATGGAATACCCCTTTGGCCAGTTTGGGTCAGGTGTCCTGTCTCTGCTTCCTCCCGGCTTCCCCTCCTCCCTGGCAAAGCATGAGACTGAGAAAGTCCTTGGTCAGAGTAAACATTACTGAGCAACAACTAAAAACATCGGTGTTATCAGAGTTGTTCCCAGACTGAAAGTCAAAACCACAGCACTGCACCAGCTACTAAGAAGGAGAAAAAATGACTGCTGTAGCTGAACCCAGGACATTTGGACAAGCACATGTCCTGGACATTGGGACAGGGCAGGAGGAAAAGAACAGACAAACGGTGAGTGAACTCAAAATCCTTGTTGGGTCCCTATAAAGG